GCTGTTGTAACAACAGCATTGCCTATTCAGTGGTGGGCTATGCCCACCTGCAGCTGAGACTAAACTCAGCACCTTGAGCTGAGCTGCCGCCCGAATGGCTCAGTGGATACAGTGTGCACTCTTAACAACAAGGCTGCTGGCTTTATTCCCGCATGGGATGGTGGCTACGACCACCCGCAACTAAGATTGAATACAGCACCCTGAGCTTAGAGGCCACAGCTACCGATGAGAAGCCAGATGGTGAGTGGCACCCTCCACAACAAAGATTGAAGAACAACAACTTGGCTGTTTCCCTTCCCCAATTCCCCAATAAAATCTTTTTAAAAAAAATTAAGGGTGGGGGAAAGTACTCTGTGTAGGACTTGCAACTTTTCAGTAAGCTTGAGATCGTTTTTCAAAGAAAAATTAATACATCAAATAAAAAAGAGTAACAAAAATTCACAAATGCCCTCTCACAAATGCCTAAGATTATATAAACAGACAACCCTTTTTTCATATGTAATTTAGGCAATATATATCAGAAATGCTTATGATGCTTTGTTTTTTGTCCCAGTAAGTTTATCTCTGGAAATCTGGCCAAAGAAAATAATTCAAACACAAAAAGTTTAATCTATACAGATGTTAATTCCAGTATTATTTACAATAGTAAAAATTTTAACCACTGAGAATTTCCATTAATGGGGAATTCGTGTTAGGTATTATACACATCAAAAAGAAATTCTATGCCACTGAAAATAACACACAAAGAGTTTTAAATAACGAAAAAAATGTTCATGCTGCAACACTTACAAAGAACATTTTGGAAATACCATCAAAATTACAAATGCACATTCCTTTTCACTCAGAAATTCCAGAGCTAAGATTTTATCCTACTGTACACACCTATATACAGAATAACATACTGAAACACAACTACATTGTTTGTATTAAAAAAAGATTTTGAGCCTAAATGACCATCAACAGAAATTAGTTTAAAACATAATGGTACATCTATAAAATAGAATACACTGCATTTGCAAAAAATAGGGAAGCTCTTTACATACTATTACAAAGTCTCTCCACAATAAGTGAAAAGAGAAAGATGCAAAAAAAAGAGTGCTTATATATAAGAAATATGTACGGACATGTATTGGGTTGTCGTAAAAGTCATGATGTATTTTGTCTATGTTTTCCAAAGGTGATTTATTTATATAAAGAACAAAGATCAATCAATGATATATTGCCCATTTTGTTCGATAGCCTTTTGCCATCTTTCAGTGAGCTTCATAATTCCTCATTCATAGAAGGACCTGTCTTTATTTGCGAACAACTGAACGAGGTGCTGATTTGAATTGAACTTAGCACCATCTGAATTGAACGTTACACCACACAAGGAGTTTTGAAGAGAGCGAAACAAGTGGAAGTCTGACGGCGCAAGGTCAGGCGAGTATGGTGGGTGTGGCAACACATCCCATCCAAGCTCCAATAATTTTTGACGGGTGATCAAACTTGTGTGTGGTCTTGCATTGTCACGATGGAACAAAACACCTTTACAAGAACGTATCTGGATGATGGATTCATTCAAACTGTCCAATTGCCGACAGTACACATTCGAATTGATTGTTCGGTTCCTTGGTAGGAGCTCAAAAAACACAACACCTTTAAAATCCCACCACACTGAGAGCATAACCTTCCTCTGATGAATGCCTGCTTTCAATGTCGTTTGAGGCGAAGCATCACGTTGGAACCAAGACCGTTTGCACACCACACTGTTGTAAACAATCCACTTCTCATCATCAGTTATCAGTCGCTTCAAAAAAGAATCATTTTCCTCATGTTCAATGAGCATATTGCAGATGTTTATACGCACCATCAAATGAACTTCTTTGAGTTCATGCAGAACCCAAATATCGAGCTTGTTTATGTATCCCAGCTTCTTCAGGTGTTTGTGAACGCTTGAATGATGGATGTTCAATGTTTCTGCAATCTCTCATGTCATGTAACGTGGGTTTGACTCGATCAATGCCTTTAATTTTGTCATCATCAACCTCAGTGGGTCTCCCTGACCGAGGAGTGTCGTTGAGATCAAAATCACCAGCACGGAATTTCGTGAACCATCATTGGCACTGACGTTCTTATAGAGGATTGTCACAGTAAACTTTATGCAACTTTTCACAAGTTTGACATGCATTCTTCCCTTTATGGAAGTAAAACAGTAAAATATGGCAAAAATGCAGAGTTTGGTCTTCCATCTTCAACTTGTAAAATCTCCAAAACTCAACCAAATCATTCAATTTTATTTTAGAATGAAGCTAGGACAGTCAGCTGTCGAATGACATAGCAATAACGTAGATGCAATGGACTCTGATACTTCCAAAAATGAACTAGTGCCATCTGATGCAAACATGTGTCATGACTTTTCCGACAACCCAATAGATACATACATATGTAAATTTATTTATGGACTACCTCTGGAAAGATATGCAAGAAAAGAAATCACTAATTGCCTTCAAGGAAGGTAATCAGGTAGGTAAGGGCGATTTTCTTTTTAACCATATTCACTTTTATATTTTTTCATTTTGTTACTCTGTGACTACATATATTTTTGGTAATAAATTAATCTTCAAGTTTAACATTTAATAAACAGTTCATAAAAATATGGAGAGTAAAAAAACAGACCAAACTACGCAACTGTTCCTTTCTTTACATTTTTATTCTCTTTCAAATTTTCCATTTATCATGTATTATTATTATTATTATTATTATTATTTTAATTGGGGAACAGTGTGTTTTTTCTAGGACCCATCAGCTCGAAGTCAAGTAGTTGTTTCAATCTAGTTGTGGAAAGTGCAACTCAGTGACCCATATGGGGATCGAACCCGCAACCTTGGTGTTATGAACACTGTGCTCTAACCAACTGAGCTAACCGGTTGTCCCTGATCATGTATTATTTAATCAGAGAATTAATATATTAAATTTTTATCTATATTATCTAGAAAAAAACATGGTTATGTATAAAATCATAGCTAAAAATAAAACTTTTTAAATTATCGTCTTTTTATTAACACTATTTGAAAAATGTCAAACAGATACTTAAAAATATGCTAGCCTTTCCCAAAGCATACTGTTTTTTCAAATTTATATTCCCATTTTATCCTCCATTTTTAAGGAGTTGTTTCACTGAATGACTCAGACTCAGATAATGCTGAGAAATAAAGTCTGTCTTTCTGTCTTATTAAAAAAGTCTTAAATCAACCAATGATGCCAATATTCTCTCTCTTTCTCTCTCTCTCTTTCTCTCTGTCTTTTCTTTTTTTTTTTTTTAAGTTGAAGCTATAAATACATAGCCATCTTACATGAGTAACAGAGTATGTGAATTTAGGTAGTACCTCAGAGAGAGGTCAACTCTGTAGACAGAGGGGTTCCTATTCCCACTACAACTTCAATGAGAACAATCTGGGACGATGGAAGAGTCTCAGCCGCACTTTCACCCTAAACACATAGCCTGGCAAAATAGACACTTGGTGTCAAGATAAAAATGAGTCACATCCTAACTGCTAATGAAACAAACAACTGAAAAATGAAAAAAACACAGAGTGACCTCAGGAAGAGATTAGAAAAGCTACAGGAAGGAAGATAAAACTGAATGAGGCAAAAATCACCTCAGAGAGCCCAGATCAGCTGAGGCTGTTCCATATCTGGGTATATATTTGGGAATAAGCTATGTGTTCTAACACAAGGCTCCCCAGCTTTGACTGGGTATAGGCTTCATTTGACAGAAAGAAATCAGTCAGTCCTCTTTCTAAAAGCTGCTGCCTGATGTTATTTGCGTATCCCAGAGTAAGTGGTATGACCAAGAACTGAACAGATCTAGAGTCTTAATTAAAATGCTATATTGTCTCTAACCCAATAAATTATGCCTGTATCTTTAACTGAAACAGACTCAGATTTAAGTTCAACTTTGTCAGACAAAGGATTCAAAGATATTTTAGATTATGAACAGTCATACAGATGTTTAAACAGTGCTTGTTAGCGTATACCGAGTTATTTATAATAGGTACTACTTGTCCTAGTGGTAGCAACTTGGCTACAGTAGAAAAGATAAACCTGCATCACTCAACCATTCTTCAGGTCGATATTATCTGGCTCAAAGAGAGAAGGACGAAGTTTTATATCTGCATTTCCAAACCACTTCAAAATGCCAAATGCCTTTTATCCTAACCCTGCAAATTAATATACAAGTTCATCTTTCATTTTTTTCATCAATAAAATGGGGAGACATGTGTACTACTTGGAAACTCCTTTTAAAGTGGTATATTAATAAAATTCATTAAAAAGTCAAAACTGGAACTCTAAAAAGACAACACAGTAGCTTAAGATCTCAGAATGTCATCAAATTAAGATTAGATTATATCAAGATTATGCCCAAATTACTGTTTATATTAAATGATTCTGCAAAGTGATTTGCTTTATACTGAGACATCCAAATACCATCAACTCCCAATTTTCTGTGCCACAAGAACTCAAAATAACAGCTAAACAAAACTGAGTTAAATTTTACTTTAAAAAGTATTTTATAATTACACAGAAATGTAGCTGTTTCTGGGAATTCACAATTTTGTGTTTTGTTATTATGTTTAAACATCTGACTTTATAGAAACCCACTGTTCTATTCAACTCCTTATTTGCTCTGTAATTCTAATGCAAATATCAACCTAGATCAGAACCTTAAACTTACTGATTCTTATTTTTTTAGAAGCAAAGAGGTAATTACTTTTCTTGGTTGTTTTTACAACTGATACTGTTTATACTTGCATATTAGTTAAACATTAGTTCAACATTCACTGATCAGGAAATACAGACCAAACACTGCGTAAGTTAAAAGTATTTGGATGTAAAGAATATTGAAAATATTTAAGTAGAGCTGATGCAACCAAAGTGAGACTAGAAAAATTAGTAGTAGTAACTTAAAAATTATTGTTAAAATAGCTGGTGATGTCCTGGTCTTTTTAAATACTCACTTGTAGCAGATAGGAACTGCCTGGATCTAATAAGCTGACAGCTTCATTCTGCATTGTGTTCTGTTGTGTAATTGCATCTTCTCGTTTCCGCTCTTTCTGTCCTGCTTCATCATCTTCATACTCATCTAAGCACTGAAAGAAAGGATAATTATCATTTTATTTCCACATAATATTAATGAAACATTTTAATAGTATGTGAAAATACATTTTGTATCATTAAAGAAATATTTGTGCTTTCAGAAACTAATTTACACAATAAAGGTAGTTCCTTTCAGCAATAATGTGTACATTTAATTCCTGTAAATTACATTATCTGCTTAATACCCATATCCACACTGCTGCCAACATATCTTTCCTTACAGGTAGGGTTCACTCATTCTTTATCATTCATTCAACAAGTAAACAGACTATGTTTACCTTAAACAAAGCACTTTTGGAAGATAACAAAAGATACACCACAGACACGGAATTCATAGTCTAGAGGGAAGATAATAAAGGCCACTGTCTAGCTTAGTAGTACTATATACAGGAGGAGTTTTTTCACCTGGACAGTACATTTTCTACAAAGACTCTGTAGAAGAGCTTATAATTTAAAGGATGGGTATAATTTGGAACTGCAAAGAACTTCAGATGGTGGAAAGTGCACATGGAAAAACTGACAGGAAAGGGTGTTAAAAAGGGTGCTAAAAA